ATCCGGGTAGGAAGGAACCGTGGATGAGAAATAGTTGCAAATTCCAGGATATAAGAGGCATGAATGATTTTTAGAACCCATTTGTCCGAAATATTCTGAGCCCAGACTTTCGAGAATTAGTCTGGCTCCTACCCCCAAGGACTGGACTGGTGTCCCATCAGAACTGCTTTGATTGTCTAGATGATCCACCTCTGCCACAATTACCTTTTGAAGAGGAGAGGCCTCCCTTCCATGGCTGTGTTCTGGAGAACTCTCTGCCAGGTCTGTAGCGCCTGAAATCTTTATGCCGAAAGGACCGCTTAGGACGATGATTTTGGGGGGAGAAATGCTTTACGTCCTTCCACTGCCTTTTTAATGCACTCATAAAGATGTTTCTAAAAGAGCATATCCCTCTGAAATGGGAGGGCACATAAGCTGTTCTTTGATGAAGTATCCGCCATCCAATTTCGTAGCCAGAGAGCTCGTCTAGAGGCTACGGACAAGGCCATGCTTGTTGAGATGGATCTAACCAGATCTATAGAAGCATCTGAAAAAAAATCGATAGCCAGCCTGAATTTGTTTAGGGAATCAAAAAGCCTGGTTCTACTGACTCCACTTGAGATATACTCCTCGAGGTCATCTAACCACTGTTTCAAGGCTCTGAAAACTGAAGTCATAGCTACGCTGGACGGATCCCCGAGCCAGATGCAATATATGCCTTGGATAGATTGGAGTCCATTCTTCTATCCATGGGCTCTCGTAAAGACCCTGCATTATCTACTGGAATGATGGTCTTTTTATCCAGACGCACAATGGCAGCATCCACTTTAGGAGCCATATCCCATGGAGCACTGCTGCTGGACTTGAATGGGTAGAGTCTTGCAAGACGACCTTGAATAGAGACCTGTTTTTCCATCTTTCTCCACTATTCCTTGATTAAATCAATGATAGCTTCATGGAGGGGAAAGGTGATGTTTCGCTTTTTTAAATCAGGAAAATGTTTGTTTAAGGCAGGGTCTTCCTCCCTTTTGTCGCTGAGATCTAGGGCGTCTCGGACAGCTCTGATCAAGGTTTCTATCTTGTTATTCATGAAGGCAGGAGATAAATGGGAGTCTTCGTTTTGAGAAGAGAATTCATCTTCTTCAAAGACTGGAAGCATCTCTTCCTCTGAGCCGACTTCTTGATTCCAATCAGGACTGAAGGATCTGTGTCTTTTCCTTGCTCTCTCTGCCTGTTGTAGACCTTCTGAAGCAGCTTTTCTGGTATATGAAAGGTTCTGAAGGACCGTCTGCTGCTTTGAGACATGCCATACAAAGTCTTTTCCCAGGAAGAACCATGTCGTCACAGGCTTCATATAATGGGGTCTTATCCTTCTTCTTTATGTAAGTGGATCTGTGAGTAGAACTAAGAATCCAGGATACATGCACTCTTTTAATTTTATTTAAAATTAGAAAAAAGTGACTTACTCCGACCTCTAGATTGCGACCTATTTTTAGAAGAAGGACAGGGGTACTCCATCTTAAAAATGGGCAGCTAGAAAAATAAAAAGAATATTCCTAGCTCCCAAATACAACAGAAAATAACCAAGAGATTCAAAGAAAGCATTTTAATAATACAAAATTTAAATATAAACCATATGCTATAATTTTACCTATCCAAATTATATTTTTCTAGGAGATTGAAAAGCAGAATTCCCTGGAGAAAATATGGAATTAAATATTAATAGCCAATGGAAGAAGAACAGATACAGATAGATAAATAGAAAAAAAGACACTTACCTGCAGCCAAATTACCAAACTTAAAAAGAAAAGAGCTTCCATGGTGATAAACACAAAATATAGCATCCATGGAGAACTTGTCCAACGCCAAGAGGCCAATTAGGGATTTTATAAACTCCCCTGAACACCAGACAAATCAGAACTGCTAATAGGCCCCGCCCTTGCCCCGCCGGGGCAAGAGCACCAATAGGGTTGTAAAAACTTGGAACCGAAAGTGATCTTAAGGCGCAAGATGGCTGCTGTGGGAAGGAAAGCACTCGCTTTGGGCGTGTGTTCCAAATGCGTTCCAAATGCGTTCCATCTGCCATCAAGACAAGGAGATGGCCTACAGTGTCGGAAACTGGACAAAAGGTACCTGAAACACAGACACGATCGATGTGTTCCAACTTAACCACTTGATCCCGGCTTTAGTAAAGATTAAAGAGGAAGTCCTGACCCCACTTGGTTCTAGGGCAGAAGCTTCTTAAGGTTTTTTATCCATGGAGAAGGAATGTCATCCTTTTTAATCCCAAATAGTAATTATCCATGAGAAAGCCAGAACCTCAGGGCTTAAGTAGGGTAGGTGTACCCTTAAACGGGAATTATCACCTCACGGGTACTGGCATATCTAGCTGCTACCTATACGGTCATTGCAGCATGACTCCCCGATCGCTAAGGAGAGATTTCTTCAGGGGGTCACCCTTGGTGAGGTGTCATGTCCTGAGGCTTCCATGAGGAGAGAGGCTGAACTCCCCATGGGCTGGGGTACTATTAAACCCAAGTAAACCATTTAAAAAAAAAAAAAAAAAAAGGAGATGTAAAAACATCCTATGTCCATATGAGTGGACAGGACAAAAAGACAGAGGACTTAGGGGAGAGACCTCGCTTTTATTTGTTTAATTAGGAGGTATTCCTGTCCAATTTAGGAGTGGGAGGAGCTGTACCCATCTGTAGTGCTGCCATGGATATATCCAGGAAATATACTTCCTACACCTATGAAAATATACAGGGAATCTCTCTGCTCTCCAATTCATATTTAATTTTGTCAATAGTGCATTCCTTGCATCCCCACCCGTTTGACTTTTTTATATCACCTATTGCAAAAATAAGTAACATAAGAGGGGTGCAGAATAGAATCAGGAGCTTATTAGTGGACCTCACAACACCACTCTATAAAAGCAAAACACACACTTATACAAAGTATAAGACAGTTTTATCACATATCATTAAAATCACTCTTTTTAAGAAATGATTAGGTTTTGCTGTTTCATTAAGAAAGCCAATAAGAGCTTCCCAGTGACAAATTCAATAATAATCCGCATATAGAACGAGATACTGCAGTAAAATACTATTTATTCTTTTTTTCCCACACACAACTATTTAAAGGCACAAATAACTGAACATGGAGCAAAGTTAACCTCTCGTTTTCCAGCATGTTTTTTAGTTTTGTTTTTAAATACTAAACAGCATTGGTGGAGGCTGCTACTCAGAGTTCTCAATTATTATTATTATTATTCTGTTATTTATATAGCGCCAACAAATTACACAGCGCTTTACAGTGGGTGGACAAACAAACATGTAGTTTTAACCAGACAAGTTGGACACACAGGAACAGAGGGGTTGAGGGCCCTGCTCAATGAGCTTAGATGCTAGAGGGAGTGGGGTAAAGTGGCACAGAAGGTAAGGATAGTATTAGACTGACAGGAATCGGTCGGGAGCTATTAACAGTTTAATTGATACGCTTTTATGAAGAAGTGGGTTTTTAATGATTTTTTGAAGGAGTGGAGACTGGGTAAGCATCTAACGGAGGAGGGAAGTGAGTTCCACAGGAACAGTGCAGCCCTCGAGAAGTCTTGAAGGCGAGCATCAGAGGTGGGAGTACGGACAGAAGATAGACGTAAGTCTTCAGCAGAACGTAAGGGCCTAAATGGGACATACTTGTGTATTAGGGAGGATAGATAGGTAAGAGCAGCATTATGTAGAGATTTGAAAGCAAGAACCAGAATTTTAAATTGAGCTCTATATCTTACAGGAAGCCAGTGTAGGGACTGACAGAAGGGTGAAGCGTGGGAGGTGCGGCTAAGTATGTGTGAAAAGTAAAATAAGTAAAGCAAACCATTTTCACACATGTAACTTAAAATTATATTGACGAGGAGTCACAATTTCCACTATCCCACTAGCCATAGGTTTAGGTGGGGCTTAAGAGTAACAGTGCATATTCACATTATGGTTTTGTCCCTTTATAAATCTCTGCCCTGATGGGAGTGCAATAGACCCTCCAGGTTTGCGTAGGTTAGTAACTTTTAAGGCCTGTCTCGAAGCGCAGGACTTCGAATTTTGGCCCCTGATATAGAAGTATAGTATATGTATAGTTTACATGGAGGCATCCGTTTAGTAAGATCTAATATCCAAATATACACTTACACTTCTAGTCTCCTGATTTTCTTAGCTCTTTGCTGTGGAGTGTTCTTGGCTGCCACCCAGTGTTCAGACATAAAGTTGTTTAGTGATCTGCAGGTCAAAAAAATTTAACATTTTCAATCTGCCATGTCTATTAGAAATTGGTATTTTTTAATGTCTTGGTACAACAGCGAATACATGTGCATGTGTATCAGGTTTTTAGTTTTATTGTATTTATTCTTGTAACCCATTTATTGCAAATGTATTAATTAAAAGTCAAGTTTCAACATTGTACCAAGTTTTTCCATTTCTCTCCTTCTCTCGAAGGACAAATTAAGAACAAAATCACTCTGTGAAGTGATTTGGGGCATTGATGCTGCCTGTGCTGTGACTTTGAAAAAAAGTGTAATTTTTGGAGATATGGCACTGTTTACATTTTGCAATATTCTTGCAATCAGAGCTACTAGAGGCTTTGGATTAAATTGATTTATTATTTACTCTGTTATATCAGCCAGTGCAAAGTTGGGTGTGTATGCAATACGTCTCAAGAGAAGCACTGGATTGGTGGATTGCTGCCATTTCCTGTATGTTAACTGTGACTCTGTACATGACGTATTTCTGCTTTAAAAGGGAATTGCACCCCCTGGAATAAAGGCTACTCTGGATTTCTTCATAAACCTGCAATGTGTCCGATGTGATTTACTTCCAGAAGACATGAGCACAATCAATTTAGAAAGGAGTAGATAGACAAATAATCAAAGTTATATTTGGTATCTAAATCAGTTTTCCTGTCAGGATGGTAATGTTGCTCGGCACAACTTTTCTTGTCAGGACAGTAAATGCCATTAACCACATTTTTATGTGCAGATGAATACGTGACATTATCCCCCACCTGAAGACCACCCACCGGGCGGGCAGGACCAGGTTTGAGAGGAAACTTGGCATGAAAAGAATGAATTTTACGGCCAGCATGGATATCAGAAGGGGAAACCCAAGAACGGTCAGCAGGCCCATACTCCCTCCAATCAACCAAATACTGGAAGGAAACACGAGAAAACCTGGAATCAATGATGGAGGAGACTTCGTACTCCTACTGTCCAGAAACAACCAAAGGAGGAGGGGGAACAATTGGACTTGTGTACCGATTGCAAAAAAGCAGTTTGAGCAAGGACACATGGGCCAGAGAATAAGGAACAGGGTTGATTCTCCTAACCACACGGAAAGGACCAAGGAACCTCAGAGCAAACTTCATGCTGGGAACCTTCAACCTGATGTTGTGTGAGGATAACTAAACCCGATCACCCACCCGGTAAACTGGATTGGCACTCTGCCGTTTCTCCGCATGAACCTTAAAGCGAGTAGCCGCAGTTTCAAGAGCGGAGTGAACCTTAGTCCAGGTATCACGAATAGAGGTGAGGTGACGACCCGTGTTGACAAAAAATTGATTATGCCCAGATGAGTCATGGGTAGCGTTATTCCTTGCAAATTTGTGCCAGGGCAATAATTCAGCCCAGTTAGACTGTGTACTATTCACAAAGTAACGCAAATACAGCTTAAGTGATTGGTAAGCTCTTTCAGCCGTACCATTAGTTTGGGGATGGTAAGCAGAGGAAAATGACAATTCAATGTCTACCTGTTTATTGGATGCCTTCCAGAACCGTGACACAAATTGGGAACCCCTGTCAGACACAATATTTTGTGGAATACCATGTAGCCTGACAATATTGCGTGTAAATATGTGCACCAGATCCTGAGACAATGGCAATTTTTTAAGTGGACTAAAGTGTGCCATTTTGGAAAAAACGATCAACTATCATGAGGATGGTAGTATACCTATTGGAACTAGGCAGTTCAACAATGAAATCCATCAATAAATGAGACTATGGGATACTGGGTATGGGAAGGGGCTGTAACAATCCACACAAGTTTATGAGGAACCTTTGAAACTGCACAGACAGAGCAGGCTTCTACATAATCTTTAATATCCCTCCTGAGTGACTCCCACCAAAATGACCTAGAAATAGCAGATTCAGTTTTGTTAATATCCGGATGCCCAACGGTCACATTGTCATGGAATACCTTCAGCACCTCTTTCCTGTCAGGCAATGGAATAAACAATATATCTTGAGGTTTGTTGCAAGGTGCCAAGGGCTGAGCCGCCATGATAGCACGGAGCAAAGGGGACGATAAAGAAAGAACAGTGGATGCAATAATACACTCAGGAGAAATAATAGGGGATGTCTCTTGTTCTAGATCCAATTCAACGTCAAATTGTCTAGAAAAGGTGTCAGCTCTAATGTTCTTAGAACGTAGTTGATAATGAAGTTAAAGTGAGACAAAAATAATGACCATCTAGCTTGTCTAGAAGACAGTTGTTTGGCATCCCCAATATATGCCAGGTTCTTGTGATCAGTAATAATCAGAATGGGATCCTTGGAACCCTCCAAAAGATGTTGCCATTCCTTAAGCGCTAGTATGATGGCTAACAGTTCTCTATTACCAATGTCATAGTTACACTTGGCAGGAGACAACTTTCTGGAGAAGTAACCACAAGGATGCAAAGGGGAATCCTGACTCTCTCTCTGAGAAAGAACAGCCCCAACCCCTATTTCGGAGACGTCAACCTCAACTAGGAAAGATTTACTAGTGTCATGTTGTTTTAATATGTCAGCAGATGCGAACATTTGTTTAAGAAGCTCAAAAGCCTCTTTAGGTCATATAGTACAATTAGCCCCCTTGCGAGTCATATTGGTGATGGGAGCTATTACCGAAGAGAAATCTTTGATGAATCTCCTGTAATAGTTAGAGAAACCAATAAACCTCTGTATGGGTTTTAACCCACTGGGTAATGGCCATTGTAGAACGGCCTCTAGTTTGCGAGGATCCATTTGGAAACCAGAGGCAGAAATCTTATACCCCAAAAACTGAACCTCATGTTGATTGAAATGGAAAAATCAATTAAAGTATTGATTATTTCTTTGTGTATCTGCCCCTGGCCAAATCAATGAAACGATGCGTGCACGCTCCCTGAAGTAATTCACACCAGAACACAGGTTCCAGGTTGTTGAATAACTTGAGGAAAGTTTATTCAGAGGGGACGGCAGGTCCCTTTTAAAGCAAAATTACATCATAAGCATTGTCAGAGATAACATGGAATAATACATCAATAATTGGTTAAGTGTTAAGTGTTTTATTCAAAGCACGTCCTACAGGGTGTGCCTTCTTATGTCATTACTGTCGTCATGGAGTTCTCCCCCAGGATTCCAGCGCCATCTTGGAAATTAGAGTGTTTGGTCGATGGGTGGGGTACTCCTGAGTGACATCTAGTGGTCAGTTTAGTAATTTATTGAATAATATTAAGTATAACTAAATGGAGTAAATAGACATTTTACTAGCTAAAAATATGTCAATATTTCATGTCACCAGGTCCATGAGGGTCTCCCACGGTTTCCCGGCGCCATCTTGCTGCACGAGGTAGTTAGTCGGTGTTTAAAGGGGCAGGGGGAGGAAGGGGTTAGAAGCTTCTAGCAGCCATCTTGATTAGAGCACGTGTGTATAGCTTTATATATAATATATCGTGGAATGAGTAAATAGACATTTTCACTAACTAGGAAATATGTGCAGACCTTATTTCCACAACAGTCCCCCCTAAAATGGCTATTTACCATAACAACTGCTACTGTCCCTAATGTGTTCCTAGCTGCCTGCAGCTCATCTGTCTTAACAAGCATCGAACACTTCACTCCGTGGGTAACCCGCGGCGGCTAGTCCACCACATCTCCACACGTGAGACTCGCCTGCTAAGACAGACGCTTTCCCTACACTGTCCCTACAGGAAAGCAGTTGTCTGTTTGAACTGATGTGCTTGAAGGGGTGTATGTGGAGTGTCATCTTCGAGGTCTGGGATATCTTGATGTAGGAAAGTAGGGGTCACGTCATCTATAGTCTTATCTACCGCTTTCTGTAAGTACTTCTGTATGCAAGGGAGCACGCAACAGGTTAAAAATAAGAAGATGATAATTATTATAAGAACAGCTGTCCCTACCTGGAAGAGGGTCCTTTGCCAACCATTCATCCACCCAAACCATCTGTCCCAAGTGTCAGTGACTCCTGAATTTTTCTTTAGCTCGTCTGCAAGACTATCTAGCTTCTCTATGGCCATAGTCACCTTACCATTGGGCCCAGTGTTGTCTGGAATGTATGTGCAGCATGTCATGGTCTCAGGGAGGATTTTACATACACCCCCTTTCTCAGCTAAAATCATATCTAGGGCCATTCTGTTCTGAAATGTCATTTGGGTAGTGGCTTGTAATTACTCTGCCAGGCCCTGTAGGGCATCCCTAGTGTAGTTGACAAAGCGCTGTTGATTATAGTAAATGTAGTTAATCCAATTGACATTTTTGTTAGCAGTTATCATTGGAATTAGGGATTCAAATCCTGCAGCCACTTCATCTCTTGCTTTGTATTCTTTAGGCACCCCCCTTGGCACACCTATGGCATCAATATACACATGGGGGTCAAAGCTCCCTCGGATAGGAGCCCCTCGTTTGGTTCTAGAGTGTACATGTGTAAGGTTTAACGTGTTATGACTACCATCTGGAATAATGTGGATAGGCATTATGACTTTGGTTAGGGCACACTCCCCCCACCATTGCTCAGCTAATTGGGACCTCAATTGTCTGTCACCACATAACCAATAGATATCTCCAATGGTCTTTGCATGATTTATTAGCAGTGACACACGTGGGCTATGGTAGGTTGAGCAATATCCAGATGGGAATCTGCCCAGATACACACCAGTATTCTTAGGTATAGCATAACATGTGTAATTACCTGGATACACGGTGACTCCATCAGGTGGCTTGACATATCCATGAGTGATTGGGTAAACCCTTTTCCATGATTCACATGTTGAGGAGTTGGTGGTGGATTGTGCATAAAGACTCAGAACACATAATTCTATTTCAGGAGGTAGGCTTAGAGGTACTGTGCCCAGATGGGGCCTGGCTCCTCCACATACATAACAGTTAGTCTTATTATGTGAGTTGGCGTTATATCTCATCCATTCTAGCCACAAATTAGTGTCTGAAAACCCAGTCTCTACTGTCATAGTGTCTTCAAAGGTGGGATTGGCTATAGCTACCATGTCATGTAGAGTCTTAATATGTGGTTTTAACGTGTTAATAGTCATGTGAGTGGTTCCTACCCAGTCTGGTGAGGTGAGCCTTTTTGCTAGGTATGTCTTTGTATATGGCTGCATATTGTGTTTGTGGAAAAGGTGCAAACAACTTTGTCACAGTAATCAAAGGTGTATGTAGCTACATCTGTGTTAGAAGAATTGTACCAGAAAAGTGTAAACATGATTATCTTTGGTTATGGCCACTTGTTGGGCCCAGGCAAAGTGTAGCAGCATAAGAAAACACAAGACACATAATAAATTCATATTTCAGCAAGATTAGCCTCTTCTGGAGCAGGCACTTTTTTGCAATGTGAGGCGTGTATCCAAGAACTCTTCCCGGCTAGTTTAACTGACGTTGCTGTAATCAGGAGCACTTGATATGGGCCATCAAATCTTGGTTCTAGGGTGTGTTTCCTGAGAAACTTCTTGACCATAACCCAATCACCAGGAAGCAGCTTGTGTGTACCTGTATTTGACTCAGGATCTGGAATAGAAGAAAACACTTGGGCATGTATTTTGGTCAAGGCATGTGAGAGGGCAGTCACATAGTCTACCATAGCATCTGACTGAATCTGAAGCTGTTGGGGAAAGTAACAACCTAACCTGGGTGCTGTACCAAACAAAATCTCATAAGGTGATAGGCTATATTTTCCCCTAGGAGTGTACCTTACACTAAACAACGCTAATGGGAGACTCTCGGGCCAGGGCATGTTAGTTTCTTGTGACATTTTAAGCATTCTGGCTTTCAAAGTGCCATTCATGCGCTCTACCTTACCACTACTCTGTGGGTGATATGGTGTGTGGAATGCAAGGGTCACCCCCAGTGCTGGCCAGACTTCCCGTGTTAGCGAGGCAGTGAAGGAGGTCCCTTGGTCACTTTCAATTACTTCTGGAACTCCACAGCGGCAAACAATTTCTGTCAAGAGATACTTGGCTGTAGTCCTCGCGGTGAGATTAGTCACTGGGAAGGCCTCTGGCCATCCTGAAAACATGTCCACTATGACCAATGCATATTCATAACGTCCACTCTTTGGCATCTGAATGTGATCAATCTGGATCCTCTGGAAGGGGTATTGTGGTTTAGCTAGATGATTAGGTGCAGTCTTTATAATCTTTCCAGGATTGCATTTAGCACATATAGTACAAGATTTACAGTAATTCTGTGTTAAGGTAGTGATGCCTGGTGTTTCAAAATACTTGTCAATCAATGAGTTCATCAGATGTTTTGACAGGTGGGCTGGCCCATGGGCCCATTGGACCACCGCTGGATACATATTTCTGGATAGGCAAAACTTGAGATTGATAGTGTAAACATCATCACGGAGTACAGCTCCTTTGTTCTTCCAACTTTGTTTCTCCTGGGGAGTAGCAGTAGCTGGTTGTTCCTTTAGAAGCCTAAGATCCGTAGGCAGTGTCTGCATGGTGTAGATGGGCACTGCGTCTGTGGCCACTCTTCTGTCCACTTCCCATCCTTGTCGTGCTGCTTCCTTAGCAGCCTGATCAGCTAAGTGGTTGCCCCGTGCTTCTTCTGAGTCTAGCCTTCCGTGGGCTTTTACTTTTAATACTGCTACCAAATTAGACCAAAGTCATGTGCTACTCCCAGAGCATATCTTTAGTCTGTATAGATGTTGACACGTAGGCCTTCAGACAATTTACAGGCCACAGTTAAGGCTGTTAACTCTGCTTCTTGAGCAGACTTGGTTGGTTGTAGGGCAGCTGCTTGTAATACTTGACATCCAGTGGTGACTGCATACCCAGTGTGATATTGTCCCTATTCATCAGCGAATCTTGACCCATCCACAAATAGTGTTTGATCCGGGTTTGAGTAATGCAGCTTCATAGACAGTTGGTAGGTGTGTAGTTTCCATTTTCATTTGTTCAAAACAATCATGAGGAATATCTAGGTCACAGTCTGTGATGAGTGGGTCTTCACGGGCTTCTGTGTGATACTTTGGGTACCCTGCTGTACAGTAATTAATAGTCTTTTTGTTGATCCCCGTAGAAGTCAGTTGTTCTTGGTTCATTTGACTCCAGGTCTTGGCCATCGGGCCTAGTTCTTTCCATGAGGTGTCGGGGGATCTGGTGAGAGATATGTGTGAGATAGCTGTTTCCCAATGATGGTAGAGATGTGTCATGTTCTCTGGAAGATGGACTAAGATGAGCAAGGTACCTGTGGGGTCCCATAACAAGTCAGTCAGGGTAATTTGAATTTCCTTGAGCTGGAATAATTCTTCCTCATAGTTCATATCAGGGCCTGGTCTGTCTTTAAACCATAAGGTGCAGTGGAGTAGGGCCTCTGATTGTTCATCATGTGGGGGGTGCAAGTGCAGGCAGCTGCAAATCTGCTCAAACCTCTGGGTTGATGTCCAGGCTATACCAGTAATGCACAATTCCCCCCTTGGGAAGTGGCAGAAGAGTGGCCGGGTTCAGGGAGAGACATCGCTGAAGTTTCACATTGTCAGGTAACAGTAAGGATGTTTGTAGACGAAGGTAACGTTGAGAAGAAAGGTGCTTAGGTTGAACTTGTTGCAGGATTGCAGTAATGTCATGAGGGGCCAACACCGTGAGGTGGTGACCAAGAACAAAATCATTAGTCTTGTCCAAGAGGACACTGGCAGCAAACACCGCTCTGAGGCAGGAGGGACTACCCCTAGCAACAGGGTTGAGCATGCAGGAAAAATAGCCAATAGGTTGCTGTCTTGAGCCATGTTTTTGGGTTAGGACTCCGGAAGCATGTCCAGACTTTTCTTGAGACAAACAGATTGAAAGGTAGTTGGTAGTTGGGTAGGCCCAAAGCGGGTGCAGCAGCAATTGCTCTTTTCAGATTGTGAAAGGGCTAACTCCTGAGGGCATCATAGAGTGGCTGCATGAGCTTTGATGCTTCGGGTATCCAGGACCTGCAGTATGTGACAAGACCCAAAAAGGCATGAAGAGTCTGATGTGTCGCAGGTAAAGGGAGTTGCAGAATAGCTTGCACCCGTTGTGAGGTTAGATGTTTGGTGCCATGGGAAAGGCAATGTCCCAAGAAGACCACAGAGGGCCGGCACCATTGTAGCTTTGATTTTGAGGCTTTGCAACCAGCTGCAGCGAGGAAACATAGGAGATTTTCTGAGTCACGCTCTGCAATAAGCAAATTAGGAGCACAGAGAAGGAGGTCAACAACATATTGAAGTAGGACAACATCAGAGTGAGTTTTCTGCCAGGGTTCTAGTACCAAAGACAAGGCACGGGCAAACTGAGTGGGGGAATACTGGGCCCCCTGAGGTATGACAGTCCAGGTGTATTGTTGTCCTTCATGGGTAAAAGCGAAGAGGAAGCAACAGGAGGGGTCTAGTGGCACACTGAAAAATGCATTAGCCAGATCTACTACAGTGAATACCGTGGCTGTAGGTGGGACCTGAGATAGGAGAATATGTGGATCTGGAACAATGGCAGTATCATTGACAGCACGAAGGTCCTGGACCATCCTATACTGGTCAGGTTATCCTTTAGTAGTTCTCTTCTTGACAGGGAAAAAGGGGAAGAGGGAGTGTTACATGGAGACACATACTTAATGAGGGCACCTTTGGCGAGTAGGCTTTCGACTTGTTTGGTGATAGCATCAGTTTGTGCAGGTTTCAGAGGATACTGTGGCCTACTGGGGGGGTAATGCTCCTGGCAGGAGCTTGACCACAACGGGGGGCACTTGTAGACGTCCGATGTCATCTGGGCCGGTGGACCAAAGCTTTGTGGGATACGGTCCAGAGCACTGGGGGTTTGTTGGACCCGTGAATTCCCTGTGGAGGTGGTGAGGTTTAACAATATGGGCAGTGAGCAGAGTACAGTGGTGTCTGTCTGTGATAAGGGTGTAGTTAACTGGACCCTGGAGCCGAGAAAGAACATCAGCACTCAAGAGGTTAATGGGACAAGTAGAAGAAACAACAAAACGGGAGAGTATGTGTGAACCAACATGCAGGAGTGTAGGGAGGGGGCTACTGCGGGGTGTACCATCCACCCCAACACAGGAGACATCGGTGACTGACAAAAAGGAGGGGTCAGGCAGGTCTTGTTCCCTAAGAACACTACGGGCTGCACCTGTGTCAACTAGAAAGGTAGTTGGATGACCCTCTACGGGGAGAACTACAGTAGTTAAGGGCCCTCCCCCGCAGACACTGCCATGGCAGGGGTTGCTGACACAGGCTTGCCAGTTACCTATTGCAGTAAATCTAAATGGGCCTGGTCGGGTCCTTGGTACCGGCGGGTAGAAGTGGGAGGGTGGCTGGACTGCATAGGAGCACGGGCAAGGCGGCTTTGTCGAGGTAGGGGCTGAATATCTCGGAAACCACCCGTGTCAAACCCATCAGCGGGAGCTGGAGGGTATGCACGGGCCTCTAAAGCAGGGGGCCAGCTGGGATGGGCGTGATAGGTGAGTATTAAGGGTGGGAGGAGGTGGAGGAGGAGGAGGTAAATCAGTGGGAGGCGGGGCAGGAATCGCGGAATTAACCAGGGAGGTAACAGCAGAGAAGAGGGCGGATGTCGAGCTAGACAGGTCATTGGCCATGGTTGGGTCAGGGGTCACCGGGGGAGAGGTCGGAGGGATGGGAACAGGGGGCTGGGTCGTAACAGCGTGGGTAAACCAGTCGGGGGAGGAGGAGACAACGAAGTAGAGGGGGCCGGGACTTCGGGAGGAGGAGGTAACACTGGAGAAGGGGTTGGAGGGGTGGTAACGGGGGGTTGGGTCAGGGCGGTGAGGGCAGAAATCAGGGACGGCAAATCGGCCGAGGGAGGAGGAGGCAACGAGGTAGAGGGGGCCGGGACTTCGGGAGGAGGAGGTAACACTGGAGAAGGGGTTGGAGGGGTGGTAACGGGGGGTTGGGTCAGGGCGGTGAGGGCAGAAATCAGGGACGGCAAATCGGCCGAGGGAGGAGGAGGCAACGAGGTAGAGGGGACCGGGACTTCGGGAGGAGGAGGTAACACTGGAGAAGGGGTTGGAGGGGTGGTAACGGGGGGCTGGGTCAGGGCGGTGAGGGCAGAGATTAGGGACGGCAAATCAGTCGGGAGGGGAGGGGACAACGAGGTAGAAGAGAGGTCCGGAGGCATAAGGGAAGCGGGATCAGCGGGAGGACAAGGGTCTGGAGGATCTGGGGCGGTGGGGTGAGTAAGGTCGAGAGGGCAGAGAGCGGGGCAGCGGATGGAGATGGGTGAGTGGGTAACCATGGGGAGGGGTCAGTCGAGGTGGAGAGGGGACGAGAGGCAAGCATAGGTAAAGGTGGCGGGGGACAGGGAGGCGGAGGAATGTCATTTAACGTAAAGGATGTTACTGTAAACATACGATTTGTAACTAGCAAGATTCTATTAAGTAAAGATACAATGTTTAAAATAACTTGCATTATTTTGCAATATCCCTTGTTGCAAGACACAGGCATTAATGAATAATCATCAGGATAATTAGCTGTAATGCTCTTATATTCGTGCCCTACAGAACTCATTTGTAGGTCACACCACAGGTGCAAATGACTCTTTAGCAACCTCTTTTTTTTTTTTTTTTTTTTTTTTAAATATCACGGACACATCTCTGATACAGGGAAACAAATGGCATGATTGTTTTAGTTAATATAACGTTTCAGTTTATAATATGTAGAGCGTAAGGAAAACAACATGTCTCTACATAGGACGAGCATAATAGGGGTAGGCCTCATGATGGAGGCAGCCATGACAGGGGCGGGGAAGGAAATGACAGCAAGGGAGGAAGTGAAGTCCATGATATGTGAGGGAAAGGAAGACAGGAGGTGTGGGCATGGTAAGGGCGGAAGTGACGTTACTTTAGAAGCAACCGTGACTGTAGATAGGTCACAGGACTGGCAGGGTCAACCTCCTTCTGTACTAGGCGCCATCTTTAGGGTGGTGGCTGACGTACTTTCAACAATACACCATATTATAACTAATAAAATAAGTCAGAGAAGCAACATTCCGTTCTGCAAAATGAAATATTAAACTATGAACAGACCTGGCAGGTTAAATAAGACAGTTGAGAATATTATGCATTTAACAGCCCATAAAGCTATCCATTGAAAAATGTACTTTAACATGAAGCAAGATAAACTCACGGAATTCAACCAATTTCCCTTATCATCCTCAAACCATTAATCACTTTCCTCCTCTTATACAGACATGACAACATCGCATATTCCCTCTATCAGTGTTAACAGGCTACACCTTCCTAAATCCCGTATTCAACACTGAATGCAATCTTGTGAGCTCGTCACTCCCACAATCCTCAGTACCTTATCACAAAACATAATTTATAAATATATATAGCACTACGGAATCTGTTGGCGCCATGCAAATGGCAACAATAATAATATTATTACACAATTATAGCTCCATAACCTGCCTGACAACGTCTATGTATGGAACAATGTACACAATACTACACAATTAGAATATTCTCCAGCAAAAATCCCGTCTCTAACTCTTATCAGTAGCACCGAAATGCAGGAATGTAGGCAAGCGGGGAGTAGGGGTGGGAGAAAGTGTGACAGTGCAAAAAGGGGAGAGAGAGAGAAACTGCAGGCATGAAGATTAACCATGTGAGCTCCGTAAAGTAACAAGACAGAAGGACAGAGATTTATACGGTTTGAAACCAGAAATCTTTGCTAACTTTTTCATTTTCAGCATAGCTTCTTCCCCTGCCCTCTCTGTAACAATATCACAAGCCAAATACCCCTTAGCTGGTCTAGCATGTACTTGCCCCTTTTTGACCAAGCGAGGTCTGCCAAGTAAAGGAGACCAAGTGAGAGGGAAGAAGAAGTAGGAAAGTCTACAGTGCTCGACTGCCACGGTGGACCCGTGCGTCTTCCCAAAACGTAGACTAGTCACGATGGTCTGTGCACCCGGGGGTGGTGGCCACAGACCGGAGGGGGCGAGCGTGGGTGACTAACACAGCTCTGGGCAACAAACACAGGAGAGATAAAGGACAAATGAAAAGATGAAAGTGGTTACACTAACAAGAAGACATTTGCAAAAATCACAAACATAGAGATGAGTGTAAACCCCAGAATCCAGAACTAGCCACACTATATACATACACACACATCCGTGGGCCCCCTCCCCGCGCGGGCCGGGCCGCAACACATGGCGGTGGGCACCTGGTCGCAGGGGTTACAGGGCTGCGACCCCTGCGACCGCGGTATGTACGCCAGTGCATGCAGATGCACACACACTTAAAGCTTAATGAAGTGGTCTGGGTGCCAGGTCGAGCTAGGGTTAACCCATTTTTTCATAAACATAGCAGTTTCAGAGAAACTGCTGTGTTTATGAATGGGTTAAGCCTTCCCCTATTTCCTCTAGTGGCTGTCCCATTGACAGCCGCTAGAGGCGCTTGCGTGCTTCTCACTGTGATTTTCACAGTGAGAGCACGCCAGCGTCTATAGGAAAGCATTATGAATGCTTTCCTATGTGACCGGCTGAATGCGTGCACAGCTCTTGCCGCGCGTGCGCATACAGCCGACGGGGAGGAGAAGAGGAGGATCGGAGGAGGAGAGCTCTCCGCCCAGCGGTGGAAAAAAGGTAAGTTTTACCCCTTTCCAGAGCCGGGCGGGAGGGGGTCCCTGAGGGTGGGGGCACCCTCAGGGCACTATAGTGCCAGGAAAACGAGTATGTTTTCCTGGCACTATAGTGGTCCTTTAAAGGACCACTACAGACTACCCAGATCACATCCAGCTCAATGAAGTTGTCTGGGTGTCAGGTCCCCTCTAGTTTTAACCCTGCAGCTGAAAACATAGCAGTTTCAGAGAAACTGCTATGTTTCACCGAGTTAATCAGCCTCTGGTAGTATCTCGCGGACAGCAGCAGCTAGAGGAAACACACTAACGTCCATAGGAAGCATTGGGTAATGCTTCCTAGCATTTAATCGTCTTGTGATGCATTGAGCTGAGAGGCTGAGGGATCCTCAGCGCCAAGGGAGTCCGGCGCTGGAGAAAGGTAAGTGCTGAAGACACACACACTCTCACTTACAGACGCATACACACTAGCTAACAGACACACACATTTACTGACAGAGATACAGTCAGCGACAGGCATACATACACACTCACTTACAAAACATACACTCTCATTGACAAACACACACTCACTAACAGACATCAAACAGACTCACTAACACACACACACTCAGTAAGACACACACAGTAACACGCTCACTGACACTCACTAGCAGACACACACACACACTAACACTCACTACCACTCACACAGACTAACACTCACTAGCAGACACACACACTAACACTCACACACACACTAACACTCAC